TGACTCTACATATTTAACGTCTATTGATCTAAACACATCTGCAAACTAGATATTCAACTAATGCATACTTCATCAAATATAAACATATATGCAATTTTATATTTTTCTTGTCCAAATTTTGTTTTTAGCTAACATCAACATATCGTAACAAGTATTTGTCATTGTCTAATAAATCATGAATCAAATCATCATAATACTTAATACTCATCAAATATCTAAGAATCCATTTCACTACTTCCCAATGCATTTTTTTTTGGATTTGAGATGTATCTGCTCATCTTGCATGGGCAAGGTGAGCAGATACATCTCTGAGCTTGGACACAATGTCAAATACATAAGATTGCCTACAACTTTATCATAAGGAATATCATGGTGACATCTTTTTCTTCTCAATGACATCGGTTGAACATTGAGTTGCGTTTGAAGTTTGTAGTCAGACTTTGAAGTATGTTGTTATAAAAGTTCATACTCCTTTGGAATCTACCATGAATCAATCTAATGTCGGAAGATGTAAGAACCAACTGAAGTTTACATTTAAGATGAAAGATTTAGATAAGTCCTAGAGGATATTAAGGATGAATATTCATAAAATTTTGAAGAAAGTAGAAGCAAGTATGGATCAAAGCAAGTACGTTCAACATGTGCTTGACAAGTTCAATTTTCATTGCCAAGATGAACAAGTCATTTGAAAATTTTATTATTCACCTTCTTCATGTATATACATGCATCATACACGCTCCATGATAATTCTTCTGCTTTTTATTTACTCATCAATTTCACGTTTCACCTCCTAGAAGCTTGTTTCAATTCATATAACAATTTCAGTAATCTAAAAACCAAATCAATACAAGAAATTAATTTTTTTTCCAATGATCTGGGATCATCAAAAGAAATATCTATATTTAAAAGAACCTTAGAGTCTATTTGATGTCAGACCCTATACCTCTTCACACCACTAACATATCCAAGAAAGTGTCACTTCTTGGATTAAGAATCCAACTTGATCATATTCTTTTAAGTTACGAGAGAATATACTATACATCCTAAAATCTTTGAAAAACTATCGAGAATGTGATCTTTACAAAACCTCAAATCTCTAGAATAAAAACTTTTCATTAATCATTTTTCTATCAACTTTACATTATATATGTATGAAACAGAACATGTTTTGAAAAGTATTTATATTCATACATTTTATTTAGATCAACATGAAATGTATAGTTGATACAAGATCAAATCTATTGAAAAAAATAGCTTTCATTTTTCTTCAACAACACAAAAAAGAAATGAAAATAGAGCTGAAGACATATTGCATTTATGATAATGTATATACGATTTAATTACAATTTCTGCTCTTCATACAAAATATGGGGTTTTGTAAATGTCACATTCTGGAAGTTGAGTATATTGAGGATTAGTTTGGCTCTATATAAACACCTCTCCCAAATAGAATCATTTTTCAATTTAAAACAAAACTGTAGTTTGCTGCTACAAAATGACGCTCATACCACAAAGCTTAATGAAAAACTTGGTGACAAGGAACTTGAGTTGATATGTATTAGGCCGTATATTGAAAGCATCAAGAAGAAAAGGGAAGAAGAATTTAGAACAAAACGGGTGAAGATTCTCAAGTAAGAAAATTGATTACAGGGATGTAGATCTTATGCATATCTTCTATCACATCAAGTTATGAAGGCTAGAATACGGGTTGAACGTCCATTACTGACAGATGAAGCATAGTGAGAGAAATAAAGCTTGATGAGAAGAGCCAACAATTCCGTTTTCCCCGTCAGAGTACAGTAAACATTCGCTTAAGTCCGCAACTTGATCCGGGAGGTCTGGTGCGGACTTAAGTGAGATGAGGACTTAACTCCTCTCAACCTCCGTGCGTCAGTTCGTTTCTCTCTTCCTCCCATCCTGCTTTCGGTTTCCATCTACCACGCAGGAACCTCAAGCCGAAGTTGAAGAAGCCTAATCAACCCCGCTTGTTCAGGGTTCGCGTCTGCTCGTTTATCCTCCCTTTCTCCCTCCTCCTTGCCTCCCTCTTCCACCTCCTGGCGTGGCCTCCGCTCTGCTGCGAGCAGGGTTTGAGATCGTCTTCCAGCGAGGAGGTAGAGGGGCACCAGCACACTCACTCACTGCCTTCATAAAGCTCTGCACTTGCTTCGGTGATAGGCAGGTGGTTTTGTGGGTGACGACCGTCGACAGCAGCTTCCATTTTGCTCAAGGATATTTGGAGCATTTGCATCTATTTTGCTCAAGGAGATTTAGAGCATTTGTCTCACAGCCAATTGAGACACCAACTTCTATTTTGCTCAAAGAGATTTTCTGTAAAATACACTCTTGAGAATTGATCCAGGACTTAAGCGAATGTCTACTGTAGACTTTTGGTACTGTGTTCGTGCCAGTCGTAATAGAGGTTAAAGAAATGGCATTTGACTTCATTTATGGATGGTATGCATGGCCCCAAGAGCATGGCTACATGGAGATAACTGGAGTGATGAAATGAGTGGCTTCTTGGTGAACGGATCAAAACCATCAATCGCAAGACGGAGCACACTTTGAAGAAGTACACAGAAGAAAAGGAAGCAAAGGATGTGTATGGCAAATTCTGCAAGAATTTTAATCCCGATATTAATATCGTGATTCATAAAACGAGTGTCTTCATGATTATATTGTGAAAGATGCGAAGGCATATGAGTCATTTGGACGCGGAAGGAGCAGCTAAAGTGAAGACTCTTGCTACTATGTGTTCTCAATAGCTTTTTGCTCGATGCAAGGAAGTCAAAGGCAATGAAATGATTGGACGCAGTCATTTAGAACGTACGAGATTCCACTTTCAAAACAATGACAAGAGAAGAGAAAATTACAAGGTCGTGGTCATGGGGAGTCGATGAGAGGTGCTTTTTTCCTTGTTTATCTGCATAAAACTTGATATCAGGAAAGACTGCCACAATCTTAGGCTGGTCGAAATTTCGAAAATTTGGAATTTTTTCCAATAATCAACCTTGGCAGAAGCTGATGATATTAGGTTAGTTTGGAACACGAAATTGTTGTTTCTCATGAAAACTGACGATCCAAGACTTTTCTTTTCTCCACTATGATTGACTTCAAAATTTGGATCTAATAAGTCTATATGAAGACTAATGGTACGGCCTTCTATGAGGATCCTGGGGCTGGGAAAGGCTGAACATTCATTGAACAGGCCCGACGAATAGAACAATGAACTAAGCAGTTGTGGCCGAAAAGTACCTTCGGGTTCAGTCCACTTGTGTATGAATCTTTGTCTCAGGGCTACATGGAGCTAGCATTGAACTCATGCCGTGTTCTCCGTGTCTACGACATGTGTGTTTGGACCGCAGATTCCATAATTCAATCTCCGACTGGACAAATTTGCCAGCATCAACATTTTAGTAACTATTTTATACAATATAATACGGGTGCTCTTGAAGGATTGCTTAGACCTGAAAAGGTTATTATTCATAATATACATTCTCTACTTCTTTGTGTTACAACTTGTGATAGCCATCGGACTTACGATCTTTGGGCAATGCTGCGTCTAAATTAGATACAAAACATCCGAACTATGTACTGCATGATTTGAGCTTAAACTGTGCATTATTGAAAGTAGTACTTCAATTCGAGATTCGAAGTATGAAAATTGTCTGGACTGGTATACTTGCACCACTTGGAAACAGCAAAAAAACTTCTCACTTTTTTCTCACAGGTTCAACTTTGTCATGTAACGAAATCCAGTTATTATGAATTAAGTGCAGGGTTTCGACAGTAGTGGGACTCCGATGGTTCTGCCTGGTTACAAGTTTTAGTGAACATTCTTATTACAGTAAATGTGGGCTATGTGAACATGCAAGGCAGCTACGCAGCAGTCCAGGGCCCCAGTTAAAGAAGCTAACGTGCGCTCAGGTGAAGGTCTCCATTTCATGTCATGCCCTGATCAGGGCTGCAGAACGCCAGGACTTGGCCGGAGGGATACACCTTTGTGCACGACATTCCACCTATCGCCTCCTGACGACGCTTTAATACGTTACGTGAGAATACACTGACTGGTTCCCGATTAGAAGATTCGGTTGACTTTGTCGCCATTGCTTCAAGACCAACATGCATCTTGTTTTAATATTGGTGTGCAGTGCTGTGAGTCCGCCTGTTACGGCCCAAAATACTGGATTATTCATACTGGAAGAAAAGCTTCTTATTTTACATCCTTTTGTCCGGATCCTCCTTATGAATCTTCTATGCCGGTAGCATTTGACGGAAACTCTCCAGATGCCGGATCTGTATTTATAAGAGACCCCCGAGAGTAAGGATCTCCGAATGTCTTTGACTTGTAAAGACAAAGCAATGAGGGAAGTGAACAGGCGAGATTCTTGTCACTACAGTAGATGTTTTCTTCTCAGCTGAAATTGGTTACGGGTGCCACCTGAAATTGGTCATAACCTGAACGAAGTAGACATTCTATGGACAGCAAAGAACGAATGAAAGTCAGGTGGCTTGTCAACAGTCTGCCCGTTGTGTACGTTTAATATCAATAACTGTTTTGAGAAAATCCGTCTGAACCTATCAGATGTCTTCCTGAATATCTGTGAGAAGAAATTACCAGTTACACAAGAGCAAAACTCAAAGAACAGAGCGCCTGCACTGGTTTAACAGAGCACCTGCACGGTCTTTAATCAAACTAGCTTTCAAGTTTTACGAACGTGGCGTGAGAGTTCAAGTACTCCGCAGTCATGTTAGCATGACCATGGTCAGAAGACATTGCTATTAATATCTAACTCGTGATGTGAACATCGCTCCGATCGATAAAGGTGACGATGTATCGTAGTGTTGCAAGCTGGTCAATGCGAAGTAGCCCTTTGCTTGCTGCATACAAAATTGAACAGGTCGCTCGTTTGGCTAGTGAAATACAGGAAATGTGACAAAGAATGCTGATCGAGGCTGTAAGTCCAAATGATCAAGCAAACAAGACGAAACTGGAAAAGTATATCAGCAAGTGGTGCCTCATGCAGGGCAAGCGACGGAAGATCCCTTTTTTTAATGAATCAGAACAATCAATTATCAAGCGCGATGCTACAATGTAATCCCCTGGGTACGGAGATTCAGTATCGAGGTTACTGTGCAGAAGGCCTTCCGAAAGTCAAGGAATCCACATTTTCTAAGCTCGTATGACGACGACCTCTTCCCACACTGGGGTGAATGGCATTCATATAAAAAAATCATCTAATTTGGTACATGTGTCCCGAGTTAATGGGGTTGCTCATAGTGTATCGCCAACTCGGAAGTGCGAATTCGGCCAATTTGAAAGGATGTACTTGTGCAAGTATATAGTTGTCTAATCGAGGATTCTCGATTGCTAGAGATCCATTCAGCGATTTGTGCAGTCCCGAGACCAAGTCGTCGAACGGATCGACGTTTATGGATGGCCAAGATGAAATTTCCGGGTCCAATTGGAGGCGCTTCAGAGGTGGTACAGCCTGCGACTTTGAGAAACGTCCTGAGAGGTGTAGTAGTTCTGCCCGCTCGCTCGAGGAAGTCGGAGGACCCATCGGAGCTGACGGAGTCGAATATTCGTCGGACATTCCTCTGTCGATCCGAACAATTCAGGGCGGGCACAGGCGTCAGGATCACCACCTGGTCCTGACTTCCCTTCCCACCCAGTCAGCTTCAGGTACCGGCAGGGCGCATTAATTAGCTATCTATCTAGAAATGTTAACAGTTACTGGCTGTGAATGAGAGCAAAATTCACACCGCCTGAGGATGGAAATCAAGCCGAGCGCAGCAAATCCTGCAACCGTTTCGTGATTTTTAATGTGCTCTAATCCTGTCAGACTTCACCAAGTTCGAGCTCGAGCTCGACTGCGGCGGCGGCTAAACAATTCTCAATTTATCCTACTTTATACTGTACCAGGAATTCATCCGATGCTCAAGGGTTGAATCCTCCGGTGGCCACTCCGGTGCTGTTTTCGGGAGGACTGATAGTCACCCACAGCAGCGAGATGACGATCGCCAACATGCCAGACCACACGTAGACGATGGTGGGAGTGCGACCTCTTCTGCCCATCAGACCCTTGGCGAACGGATACATGTGCGAGAGCACCCACAGACTGAAGAATACACCTCCCAGGAGCTTGCTCCACTGCGGCAGCACGGCGTAAATTGTCCTCGATATAGCAACGGCGATGGCGATAAGGTTGACGATCATGATGGTGATGGGCGGGATCATGAGCGCAGTCCACTTGACGACGTACAGGTCCGCGAACTCGTCGTCCATGTCCTCGGCTCCGGACTTGGACGTGAGCGTGAAAGAAATATCCACTCCGGCCATGACCTTGAGCAGACCTTGGAGCACGGCAGCCAGATGGGCACTCGTACCTCCGATGACCCAAAACTGCTCGTTCCTCCACCATTCTTCCAGAGTGATTCCCGACCACTTGACCTCGAGAATAGCCAGCAGGCACAGGCAGACGGAAATGACCAGCAAGTAGACCAGGAAAGTCACATTGAGATTTTGCACGATAAACTGACCCGAGAAGAGCGACAGTGCCGGCAGGAAGCAGTACACGATCAGGAAGATAGACGTGAATGGGTAAACGCCGACGTTCAGGTACGCGACACGTTGCAGGAATTTCATGTGCGAGTTGGCAAAGATGGCGTTGTTCCGCGAGAAGAAAATCTCCACAGACCCCGTGGCCCACCGCAGCACTTGGTGCAGTCGATCCGTCAGATTGATGGGCGCCGTGCCCCGGAACGCGTCTCGCTTGGTGACGCAGTAGATCGACTTCCAGCCACGATTGTGCATTCGGAACCCGGTCACCACATCCTCTGTCACCGAGCCGTAAATCCAGCCCACTCGCCCGCCCCACTCGGTCTTGTCCTCGTAGTAGCACGAGATTACGTTGATCGCTTCGGCCACCGTCGCCGCATCCAGTGGCTCTCGCGGGCCCGTCAGGGCTCCGGCCGGTCGCCCGTGGGGGATTCCGGGCTCGGCCAGAGGTCGCCCCGCGAACTCCGCCACGGGAATGGAGGCTACGAAGATCTTCGACTGCCCGTACTGCTTGGGGAGCAGGCCTCGCGACTCGAATTCGTCCTCGTCGTTGGCCATCTGCGCCAGCAGGGCCGCCTTCTTTTTTAGTTTCTTGTGGCCACCGCGGGGAGGATCGAATCCGTACAGAGCGATTCTTCGGAAGCAGCACCCGGTTCCGACGTAGACGGGACCTTGAAGCCCATCCAGAGCTCTCATGTTGATGTCAAAAAACACCGTGTTTCGATTAGCGTATCGATCGTTCGGATCCACTCCCTCGAACCGCTGGGGAAACTGGACGTAGCAGATTCGATCACCACCGCGGTCCATCATAAAGCACATAGCTTCCCTCATAGCAAGGGAATTGAATATGTAATGATCACAATCCAGATTGAGGATGAAGGGTCCGTTGGACATGACTGCACTGGTGCGCACCAAGGCGTTCATGGCTCCGGCCTTCTTGTTGTGATCGTAACCGGGTCGCTTCTCTCGAGATACGTACACCAGCATCGGCAGTCGCACATCGATGTCGGTCGTGTCGATCAGATTCTCCTCCAGATCGTTGCTTCCCATGACCGGATCGCAGCTGGGTGGTGCCAGCATCACCTGCAGCATCCATCCATCCATCCAACCAACCACAACCACAAGGTGTCAACATTCTCTGCGTGCAATAATCAATCATACATGCGAGCAGCAGCAATTGGACTGCACTTCAAACCAAAACATCCATCGACGAATTTAAACTCTCGACGAGTCCTCGTGGCGCTGACCTGAATAATTCCAGCGTGGTCTCCTTTGCTGTGTTCCTTGCCGGAAATGACCCAGGTTCCAGGCCAGTGGGTGCCATCAGCCATCCAGGTCGCCTTGGGAACGTTCAGTGGAATCGAAGGATCGGCACCGGACTCGATTTGATGTCTCTTGGCGCGGATTTCTTCGTGTGCGTTGTAAGCGTCCGATCTTCTGCGGATGGAGTCGGTCAATCCATTAATTCGCACCTTCAGTTCATCGTACTCGCGCTTCACCCGCCTGCGGTCCTTGACAAAATCCGTCCTCACCTTGCCCTTGGTGGGATCCCCACGGATAAGGAAGTAAGTCTCGGGGTTCCGGGGCTCGATGGCGTGCTTCCGGCAGAATGGCACCCACGCTCTGGCGAAGCTGGCCGCCTCGGCCAAGGACTCGAAGGAGAGAAGGGCACCTCCATCGTCGGACAGATAGCAGGCCAGTTTCTCGACAGGGTAGTCGGCGGCCAGAATCGACAGGATGGTGTTCGCAGTGATAAGAGGCGGTTCCTTCTCTGGATCTGCACTGGAGACGAACACGTCCATACCTGGCAGATCGGGGCGCCCACGGGGATTTTCGGGACTGGGCTTCTCGAACTTGTCCTTGAGGACGGCAAGATCCGTCAGCCGATTCACGGGGCAGAGCTTCGGCAGCTGATCGAGAATCCACGAGAAAGCGAACCAGAGCTCGCACACCACCGACATTCCCCAGAGCCACATTGCATCCCTGTTGGGATTCTTCACTCGCCATGTCAAGAAGAATCCCAGAACCACCAGCCTCAGTAGAGCCAGAGCCCTGCAACAACCCACGGTCTCATCTCAGACCCTTTCTCGTGCCTGGGCACCTCGTGCAAGCAAGCACTCATGGAATTCGAAAGAAGTTTATGGGAATCGTGGGAGAAATTCGTTACCTGTACGAGTAGATGATGCCCGCTGAAATCGACACTTTGCGCGTTAGTGGCCTTCGCTTTTTGGTCTGTGAAGGAGACGTGGGCTCTCCGGTCGCATTCGCATCGGCAGCGCCGCTAGTGTACTCATCCTTAGACCACACTGGATTTCCATAGGCATCCCGAGGGGTGTTGGGTTCCGACATCGGCTGATTGTCCGGCGTAGGAGGGATATGCACTGTGTATGGGAAATCAGCGCTTACATCTCCAGTCATGTCCATGGACTGATCGTGGTCGTCCCGAGAGTTGGAGACGAATCTGCCACTCATGGTGCGTCGCGGGTTGTTTTGACCCGGAGGTGGCACATTGGGATTCGAAGCCATCTCGGATATCGGTCGACCTGCACCTCAGTCCTCGGGGTGTAGGCCTGGCTCCCGAAAGGGAAGCTCGAGGGCTCCCTCTCCTTCTAACTTGTTCTCACGCCTTCGAGCATTTACGCCTATCAATCCTCTGAAGCCCGATATGAGGTCCTATAGTGCCGGCATTCTCTGACAGATCTGCATAAGCCTGTTCCTGATCTAGGCTCTGCGCTCGATCAAATTCCCAGACTGCTTGAAATCCCCCAGCATCTTCAACCAGGCACGGGCACCAATTCAAAACTTAGTCTAGCTAGCAAATTCTGTATACACCCTCAATCCAGACGACTTGCAGTAAGATATCCGATCTAGAGTTTTGCACCTGGACCTGCTGCGTCCACTCTACTTCGGCGATTTTCAGTCCTCTAGATCTCAACTCCCTCTATGTAGAAATTTTGAGCTTAAAATTCATAGACCATCGTTACACAGTAGACTCAGTCAGTCACTTCCCATCAGCACTCTCCCTGAACTTACTCTCTCGACTCAACTGTCGCCTGGCATCCAGCAGAAGCCTGCAAGCACTTTGAGCTGAGTCGAGGCGAGTTTGTCTCTTGAAATCCAAGAGAGAGAGAGCGAGAGAGAGAGTTGGGAAGGACAGAGGAGACATGAGGCTTGGGAGAGGAGACAGGAGATGTAGAAGATGAATAGGAGGAGTTGAGGGGAATGAGCGACCTGAGAAGTAGGAAACTTTTGCGGACCCTCCTACAAATGCGTAGTAGTGGAGAAAAAGGAGGGTGCCGCTGCTGAACTTCAGCCCGATCTGGACGCATTGAAGGCGTGCCGACGCTCACGGCCGCGACTGGGCCAAACACTAAATCCAGATGGAAACCCATTCTTTAACAGTGATCCACCAATCACTTGCTGGAGTTGTGCGACGCAGCCCCAGAGCTGCAGCCCAAAGTAATTGCAGTTGCTCTCTTTGGACTTCGTAACCTGAACACTTTTCCACCTAAGGGACTCCCATCGCCCCCGCCCGCGAGCCAGTTTACACAATTGCCATTACCGAATTTCAAGGATTCCCCAACTCAGACTGGACGTATCGGCACGAGTCTAATCATTTACTTGGCCAGCGTCAACCTTGTGGTAGTTACATCGCTAACGGGGGGGCGAGGGGATTCCGCGGAGGATCCTGGAGTCTGGAGAGCGATCAAAGCAGCACGACCGCCTTCAGTCCAGCTCCAGCAAGGCAGGTGGCCAAAGTCACGCCCTCTCGCCCTATAAACCTGCCACCTTTCTCGCTGCTCCTGCATAGAAAATTTCGACCCATCTGATGGAAAATATTGCCCAATTCGGGTGCAACTCGACGCTTTGTTATGTTCCCAGTTTTGGAGCGTGATCGCCTTATCACAGCCTAGTTCATGAAAGATTCACATGGTCTACTTTCTGTCATCCAGCGAACTATCCACTCGGCCGACGTGTCAAACCTCTGAACAAGCAGCTTCCAACTTGACTGGGCATGGCCGACGGCCCGCCCTCTAGTCCGCCGATTCGAGGGATGAGCAGAAGATACCCTGTGCTGATTTTCGCAGGTAATCGGTGATCCGAGCTCTGCTCACCACTTCAAGATGCTCGGGTAATGGCCCGAGCATCCACGTTGCGTTGTGCTCGTGACTGGGGAAAAAGCAAGAATATACAATCAGAGTGAAAAGTACATACATGTAACCCTGATTCGAAACTTGCGTATTCACACGCGAGTCTCTATACATCATGTGATTTACACAGTGCAATTCCATTTAGTTAGGTTGTCTCTTGGTGCAAATTTACCGATTTTCTTCAGTTTAACTTTCAGCTGATGTCTTGATTATTGTTGTATCTTTACTTAAAGTCACACTTCCTGGGTTAACATCAAATTTCAGGTGGATTCTAACGTAACGTAAAATGTGCAATAGCAAAGAGACGGGATATATCGTATTGTTGAAGAGAGATCAAACGCCTAATTTCCCGGTGCACAATTCGGGTGTCAATAGATTTCCTTAAGTTTATTTCGCGTCATCGTCACCGTCCTCTTGCCCACGGGAGTTTCCAGGATCGACACATGGGATGGTGAAGCAACCCTCCTCAGTTATCAATATTGCAGTAATTGCTGTTTATAATTGGCATTGGTCATTCCTTCTTGACCCATCCATGTACGACTTGATTGGACCCTCGATATATATATCTGATTTTATTTTTGTAGTGACCTTGGTCGCTTATAACCCATGTGAATTAGGATTGGCAACTAATGGGGTTGATCTAGAGCCATGACTAAACTATCAAAAAAATTTATAAAGAGAAGTATATTTATGAAATTTATTAGTGAATGTTTTAGACTTACTAGTAACTGGAGCGTGTTTCCAACTACGTTATTCCGGTTTATTATAAAAGAATTGCTTAGGGCTCCTCCATATTTACTCCACCGTGTCGGATGTCTCGGTGGAGTAAACATCGAACCTCCCTGTTTCCTACGGTCACCTACTCCCAGTCTGCAGGTAACCGGAGCAACGGCCTAGCCGGGAAGCCTTGACTTCATGACCGTCGTTTCGAGGCCGGTGTCCATCTCCGGTACCTAGCCACATGCGAACTACGAATCCTGCGCCGGGAAGGTTGCACCCAATGCCCATTTTTTAGCTCTCTAAGGTCGGTCGGAAAGAAGAACGACTGGATTACTTCGGTAAATCGGTCAATCGGTCATCATTTCAATGACTTATTGTCTTCACCTCCAACCTAAATTCATCTTATCAAACTTGTAGTATACTGAAGGATCGAGAACTTCTAAGTTTATACTGGAATAAATACTCACCCATGGGAATACAACCTGATACTTTTTGACACAGACGTCATGATTACAAAACTCAATCTTAGAGAATCTAAATACTAATTTCTTGCAAGCTGGTAAGAAATTATTGGTCATCACAACGTACTAGACTTTGAGCATGTTTGGACATGCCTAACAACAGCCAAAGCTAGAAGAAGCAAAAATACCTTCAACGAAAGGTATTGTATGCACACATATATTGCTCACAATGGACATGTCAACATCAAATTGATTGTTTTGAAATATATTAGAAGATTTAAGAAATCATCCTTTTCAAAGTAAATCAGGAAAGTTTCCCAAAGCATCTTTCACATCATTCTATTCTGAACTTTTACCTTTCGCTAGGCTGTGAGGAAAAGCGAGACAGTAAAAAAGAGGATCTAGAGGAACATTTTAAAATGTAAACAAAAATAAGACTTCTAGTATCTGTTTCCATACAAGGAGAGAAATGTTAGAGCTAATATGCAGAGATTGTGATGCACAAAATAAAAATAATTATTGCAATGAGTTGATGTTATGCCAAATTTCAAGGAAAGTTGAAAATGCACAAGCATATACGCTGACACTAACATACATAGTTCACTCTTTTGGATTCTTTTTCACAAAAATACTTTTTATTTAAGTTTTTTTAGAAAAACTAAAAATATCATCGAGGATTTTTGGTAGTTTTTATATATTGACAATGTTATAGAATTTTTGGGTTTTAAGATTTATTTTGAATTTAATCTTAACCTGAGTTAACAGAAAACCTAAGTTAACTCTCAACAATTTTCCATTAAATTCATGTCATGGAAATCGTAACCTTCATTACTCATGTGATTAATTTAAGGTAAGTTCTAGATAGGAATCTAAACTAGGATACTCTATGAACTAGGGTTAATCCATAGCCAAAACAAGATAAATTATATATATATATATATATATATAATATACAATTGCTAGTAAGCTCTACTTATGCTACTTCTGCAAAACCTGCAAAGTAACACAATGTATACTAAAATTCTATATAGGATTAATTTTGATCAACGCATTGTTAAATTGAGTTTGTTGTCAATTTTGACTGGATCAAACTTTTTATTACAAACTGAATCTCTAAAGTATGATACTTGATGTTGATGTGATCCGCTCTACTATTCATCACATTTGCAATAACGTTTAAGACACTCTGACTATCATAATGAAGATTCACAACCTCATGTTTCAAGCTCATCTTAGTGATATTTTCATTCAAGCAAAATCTTCCTTTGCTGCTTTTGCTGCCAAAACATATTCAGCTTCAATTATGCACTTAACTACACTTTTACAATATACATCTTCAACTGATGCATCCATCACAAAACGTAAATACAAAATTATTTATAGATATATTCTCTTCCACATCTTAACTATTGTCAACTTTAATATAATGTATCAAAGTATTGGTATATTTTTCAATAAAATCTGAAACAATAGATCATAATATTTAATTTTTTAAGTTATCTGAATTTCAATTTTATAGTTTTTAGTGAAAACTTTTAGAGTTGAACATGTTCATGCTTCTCTTTTTTATAGCTAAAACAATATCAGAAATTTTGCATATCATCAAATACATAGTGCTGCCCAAAGCTTTGTCATAGAGAGTTGATGATATTTCTTGATTTTCAAAGATATCAATTGAATATTAATTTCTAGATTATTTACATTATGTTATCAAAGGATTAATACATCTTAAAAAGTTGTTTATCATTTCAATGTACTTATCTTTGACTTAAACATAGTTTTTTCCTTTCAAATTACTTTGAACATCAATCTTAACATACTCTTGGACTGATTCAAATCCTTAATCTTAAACACAAATTTCAAATGTAACTTGTAACATATATATCCTATGTTAAATCCATGTTGGGTCAATTTTTTTCCAAATGAATATTTCATCCACGTATATTATTAGGATATTAAAATCAAAATCTCATTTTTCATATTTTTTAATTTTACTCATGAAACATATATATTCTATGATGAAAATATTTATGCTTGTATGAAGTCATCTAATTTTGCAATTCATTGCATAAAAACTTGCTTCAATCCATATAATGATTTCAGTATTCAGCAAACTAATTTCTTCTAACACTTCTTTTCAAAGACAACTAATTATTGTCAATAAATTTTTTTCTACAAAGAAACATAAAAAAACATTCTAACTAAATTTATATGATTCATTATCAAAATAAATATTGCAAGAAGTACACATACCAATTAAATAGTAACAAACTTTGCTACAAGAAAAAATAATATTATCATAATTCATAATCTTTTGTGTGCAATTTCTAGCCAACATGGCTTTAAATATTATTTTCATCTCATATGTTGAATGATACTTTACTTTATATACCCAATTTCTATTAATCAAAGTATGATAACTTAAAAGCTTCACTAACTTCCACATAGTTAGGCTTGGCCACGGTCCGGTCCGGACCGACGGTTAACCGGTTAACCGGTCCCAGATTTCTCCGGACCGGTTAACCGATCGGTTAACCGGTCCGGGAAAAAAATTTACTCTGGCAGCAGAATTAGACCAGCGAGCCTCGCTGGTCTAATTCTGCTGCAAATAAATAAGTAAATTTTTTTATCACCTAATTTGATCACCCAATTCGATAAGTGGATAATGCCTAGCATAAATCTCGAGCTCGGATGTGTTTCTCCAGCTTCCCTGCACCCTGGCGCAAAGTCGAAGTCTCTCCAATTCGAGAGCGTTTTCAACAGTCCGAGTGGGGGCTCATTTGAGTCCTCGAGCTATCGCACAATTCCTCCTTCGCTCCCAGCCACAGCCCCTCCCGTCGG